AAATGCCGAAGTACAGAATATCTAGCCCCTCCCCCCTCCTTACTCTCTTAAGAATACTTAAACCGATTCCACCCTGAAAGTTAGCCTGAGAAAAAACTCGTAGGACACAATTTGACAACTTAATATGATATACGATACAATTTCTTCCCTCCCTTTCTTGGATCTTTTTTCGTAGCGATTTTTATTGCGTGAAAGAATCAAGCAAAAAAAATGATAAAAATAGAGAAACGTATAAATATATATATTTAATAGAAAGTCTTATAAATGATAGATTAGATAAATATTTAATTATAATCACTTCTTTGATTTTGTATGCAGACTGCGATTGACGTTCTCTAGTCTGTAGCAACTTTGTCTATTTTTTGCGGAAAACTATATACGTAAAAAGATATTAGGTATTGCACTGAAAAAAAGATTGGTGTGCAGCAAATTAGGTGGTAAAATATGACATAGTATTATTAATTGGCTGCAGCAGCCAATTAAAAATGCTATGCCATATTTTATCATCTAATTTGCTACAGCAGCCAATCTTTTTTTCAATGTATTAATATTCTATTTTTAAAACAAAAAGGTCTGAATTTTTAAAAAAATATTTTTAAAATAGTAAGTTATATTATTGTCGATCGTTAAATAAAATTAAGTAGATTTACAAACACACATATATATGTTTCTATCAACATTTGGAGATAAGATAATTCAATAATAATTCAAATTCAAGAAAATATGTTTAATTAATTTGCTGTCGGATGTTTCATTCAGCAATAAACGTGTCATAAATATGTTTGCTATGTTTATATATTTAATTCTTTCTTTAAATGTTGCCATCTATGATTTTTAGTGTCGTGTAAAATTAGAATACTAAGTATCACGGACTCCGTTTATACAGCGTTTAATTCTCATTGCAAACGGACGCGTGTAAATTGTTTCCACCGCATTATCGAGGATCAAGGAAATTCCGCCGATAGTCTATCTCGTTTACGAGCTTTAACGATCCCTCTCGCGCGACCTCCATCGAGTACGTACGTCTTCGTCATTCTCAACGGAAGCGGACTTTATGACGCGACATGGCAACTGAGTTTCTGGATTGTCTCGAATAAAAGTGAAGCATTTCGAGCAGATTCTTTGTATTATTTGCAATATTATTAAACAACAACCTTTCACCACAGATAAATAAATGATGATAGCATTCTAACACTAACATTATCTATAAATTACTTATAATATGTATTATTTCTATCATAAGTAGAGTTATATTAAATGTTATCCCTTTTCTAAATGGTTATTATTAAGTCGGACAAACAATATTACATAATTTTGGTAAAAAAAAAGAAAAAAATAAAATCGAGAGCATGAAATAATACAAACTTAAAACATTTGCCCGTTTGCTCTCTTATTTATTACACAAGAGCTATATCGGCCTTCGCCGGACGTGAGACGGTGACGGCGATTAACGCCGCTTCCGTTCGTATAGAATGCATTAATGGACGTGACATCGGTGCATCGTTACCGTGTTTTCCTCATCGCCGTCATGAGTTATCCCAACCGAATTACGCGTTGTAAAGGCGTCAAAGCTGTTTTCGCACGACCCGATCTTTCGTAAAAGGTGACTTAATTCGCCCGGCAAATCGACGATTTACGACCACGAGAACCCTGCACAAGCCGCCACACCCGAGATGCAACCCAAGGTAATGGGGTGTGTACAGATGCACTCGCGTAGGGACAAGACGGTAAGGAACGGGACGATACGAAATACAAGAGTTCAAATACATTCAAATAATCGTATAGAACTTCTTCATTGTTATATTATTTTGCGATATTCTTAAATTAAAAAATTCATAACATTATAAAATAAATAGTATCAACTTCCAATTTAATAATTTCATGAAATCACCAAACTTTGTCAAAATAAAAAATATATAATAATTACTATATGCTTAGTATTTTTAATAAATCATTATTTATCGTTATTAAATGGACAATAAAATATAAACGAAAAAGAAATATTTACCTGTACTGGAGGCAGATTTGCTGAGATCGAAGCCTTCCTGCTTGGGACTGGCGTTGATTTCTTGCTTTGGATGCTGGTTGTGCGCGGAGAACGGTGTATGGGGTGTACCGAGAGGTGTTTGCGATTGCAACGGATGTACCGATGGGTGCTGAGGTGCGTTCTGCGGCTGAGATTGCTGGGACTGATGAGACTGAGGACTCCTCGGTAACGAGGACACGCTGCTCGGTCTCGATGGTGGCGAGGCTTTGTGCGTTAATGCCAACGCTTGGCTCTGCAAAACGAGAGGATATTCATTTTTGAAAAATTTATTTTGAACAATAAATTCGACAAATATAATTTCGATGCGATAATGAATGATAATGTCTATGTACGATTATTGTCGTATACATCGAAATGCGGCACATTTATTTTGTCAAAGAGGAAAAACGGGGAAAAGTGATCTCATCTATTTAAAAGAAGATGAGAATATTATACAGAGAAATTCGATAAGCTCTACATTATAAAATATAAGAATCTTTTTATGTATCAAGAGGACGCGAAAGAAAGTTTAATACCGGGAAGCATGATATGTACATTTTTACGCTTATTACTCAGGCAACAAGTTCTTCCCCAGCTTCTGTATTGTCCCTGGCAAAGTTTCACAGCGAAATATTTTCTGCGTACAAGAGCACGTTATGTAAATTATTGTGATGTTTATTTCATCGCTCGTTTGTGTATAATCCAGCGAGAGTGCGGTAATCGCCGCGGGGTAATATAAATCCTTTGCTGTCCTTAATCTCTGAAGACAAAATTCCCTGGCACATCATGCTTCTAACGGTCGCATGACTTTTTTACGGGAACGATTACCTATTATAAAAATTTCTAGAGAAACGTAGCTCCTATTAATCTTTAAAATATAAAAAGTATTATCATAAATCATCGTTGTATATATATAAATCACGTTATTTGTCCGTATCATCTTGATTTTCACAAGTTCAAAATTTTATAAATAGATTTTAATATATTATAATAACAATATATTACACGAATTAAATGTAATGTTGTATCCTTGCTAAAGTGCGTTCGCGCGCGATAAAGGATTGCCTAGAATCTGCTTCTAAAAAGAAAAAAGATATAACTCGCGCGCGAATTAACTATGCACGATTGGAGGCAATCTAACGATTAAAAAAGCCTTCGGCGGCAATTCATGGTGGGAGCGTCGCCTAAACGCGGTCAAATCTACGACGTTTCGGTCGGGCCGAGCGAGCCGGATGATCTAAGCGTCGTCGATGAAATCTGAGCACGTGCTCAATTCCGAGCGGCGACCAGGCTAAGACATAAGCGCGGACTTAGATTTATGTATGAGTGAACTGATCTAACCGTCCAGTCCCCCTTATCCTCCGCAACCGCCGCCGCCGCCGCCGCCGCCGCCGTCGTCGCCGTCGTCGCCGCCGCCGCCGCCGATGTGCGAAATGCACCGCGGAGCGATGATTTTCGTCTGGAAACTGGATCGTCGATGACGCCTCCGTGGAATACGGAGCGTCAAGCGGCAGAACGAGCCGAGATACGAGGCGGTGTTTAACCCTCCATGAGCCTTCGCGACTTCCTGCCGCGTTCGTGTTTGCTCGCAATCAGCAATTTTCGCGAGTATTTAGTCTCCTTATTTAATTACAAAATTATGAAATTTAATCAGCCGGCGCATCACACGCATCAAGGCAATCTTGAAAAATCGATGACGAGCATCGTATTAATTTGCTCCTCGAAAATGATTATCCCGATTCTTAACCGAACAGATTGCACAAAATTTATCGTCTTTTTATATTTATGTAAATTAATTCTATCGAGTCGCAATTAAACTTCAATTTTTCTTATTTTTTCTGAATAACGAATCTTTCTACTCGTGTATCTTTACTAGTAGGAAATATTAAGAAATATATACATAATCATTGAAGTCAAATCAAAAGAAAAAGAAGAATTTCTTCTTCCATCTATAGGTTTTAATATCTTTGTACATCGCTTCTCTCGAAGCGATCGATCTAACGATCGGTTGCAAAGGATCGACCGGATGATTTTTTCGCTTGCCCGGACTGTACCGAGGTACCAGCTACTGTTTCGGGAGCTCTTCGAGGTATGCACTCGCAAAAAACACGTCAGACCGCTGAAGACCCGGGCCTGGAAACGGGAGTGAGAGAGAAGAAGATGATGAAGAAGAGGAAGGAGGTGGTGAAGAAGGGAGCGGAGAAGCGGGATGCCTGAAGGTGCCGAAGAGAGCGAGAAAGAGAGATAAGGGCCAGCCGGCATCATTGATGGAAGAGAGACGAGCGGGAGCGACGGGCCCCGAGGGTCTACGTGAATTGGAAGAGGACAGAGAGGATCCCCGGATCCTCGGCTTCCACGCGAGGAATGAAGACGAACGCGAGACCGAAAGCGGGAGCGTGTAAGAAGGGGCAACAGGTGGATGGGGTTAGCGGCTTATCCAGCTAACGCCCCAAGTGATATCGCGGTAACTCTGCTGTGACGTGCGAGGGGTTACGACGTTGTTGTCGTAAAATCAGGAATTTCGGTTCGTTCATCGATCCGGCTTTCGCCGTGGTTGAGAATTCACTCGGCCTCCCGTGGAATCGGGAATCGCGCTGGGAAGGCGTCAGGTCCAAGAAACGTCCGGCGCGAGAAACACCTCTGAAATTCGCTCACTTGAGCGATAAAAATTTCTTCTTATTAGATATCATTAATTGCGCGGTAATTAATGTGATAAAGTTAACCAGATGGATCAATATAAACGATTTAGTGATGGATGAAATTGAAGTAAAGTTGGAAGAGCATAAAAAGTTTGTGATACAATAATATCACTCGTAATAATTGCCGAAATATTTTTTTGCATTTTTTTTCATGTTAAGTAATCGCCTCATTAAATATTAGTAAAAAACAAGAATAATTGCACAAGTTGAATAAGAGAAACTATAATAAAATTAAAGTACATCCGTCGTACTACTCGCAAAATATTGTCAAATATTGACATAAAGGACAACAAATGCTACGGAGGATTCGTTCAATTTGTGCGAACCAGCGTGAATTTAAACAAACGTACTCTTCTTCCGTGTCCTAATTGTGTGTGACGACAGTAAAAATGAACAAGTAAATAATTAAACGTAAAGCGCGAGCGCGATATCGCATTGCGCCACGAACGACGAGTTCGGCAGGCGGTTTATCAACGGATCAGCTTATCTACCGGGTGTAACGGAGATACGCAGCGATGGCGTTTCCTGCTAATGTTTCCCGTTAATGCGATAACCTTAATCGTTGACCGTGCACAGGATTCTCGTGGACCTGCGAGAGATTCGAGAACGGAATCAACCGCGACGGAATCATCGCGCGCGTGCTTCGAATTGTCCGCACAAACGAACTTACGTAAGACCGAATCACGATGACAATCTTTAACGTTTGACCGAATTGAACGCGTGGTCCTTTTCGGAGTGTCTTACGTCAGCGGCATCGTTCCTCATGTGGCCAATTCTATTCATCGAAATAAAAAAAAAAAAAGAAAAGAGAGAGCACTCGTGACGATATCGCCCCTTTGCACGAAGATCCTTTCTTCTCGTCTCGTCACAATTTCTACGACGATGTTCGATACGCGTGAATTATCTGCGCTTGTCTCGCTTGTCTTTATTAATTCTACGAATGCTGCATTAACGTGCGTCATGAAAAATCGCGCTTCACGCCGTGAGCGATACGTTGCAGCGTTCTCGGAGGATATGAGATCAGTTTAGGATATGAGTTCATTCTAGCTGCATTTTCAAACGGAAATAAAATGGAAATAACTCGAACAGCTAGACTTGAAATTCTTTTAAAATCTGTCGTTTTATGATCGAAAAATCTAAACTTTGATTTCAAAATAAAGAGAGAATTTTATACATTTACCATTGAGATTTTTTGCGCGTTTTTTATTGATCCGAAAGAGATTTTTATTAAAGAAATAATAATCAATCTGACAATTGACTAGTGTTGGCTCCTCTTTCTCTTATGAATTTCCTACATTATTTTTAACACTAAATTCTTGCATATTCCACTTTGGATTATCCAATCCATTAGTGAACACTGCTTGTATGAAAGAGCAATATGAATCTTGAGTATTAAAATTATACCATAATCTTAGTTGCACTCTCTTTCTCTCTAATATCTGCGTTTTATTCTCATTTGCCTAAATTTTTACTATCCTTAAAAAACTTTGTGAAATCCTATAAAATTGAATAGAAATTAGATAATGCTGATATAATCGTTTTATAATTGTTAAAGATTCCATGAAATTCCGATTATGAAGATAAACTGTTTCTGGAATATGCTTTTACAGAACATTGAAAAGCACTCGCCGTCTTCTAATCTCCGATCGATACAATAACATGCAACATTGTGTACTAATAACAATTCGTAAATTGCACTTAACAAATTTTAAAACGATTCATTATCTGTTTTAGAGCGCGTGATAATTTCGCTATCTTTTGGCGGTCATCACACGAAATGGAATTAAATGTGGCAACCATATTAATCTGCAACATTCTAATCACGCTTATCGAAATATCGAGCCGGCGATATCCCCGAACGATAATTGGATGTCTCTTTGTAATAGATAATCCGCGGATTGATGCGTTTGCGATCGTGTTACGTAAATTGTTGCCGACTGTAGTGTTAGTGTACTTCGTTCCTAAGTGCAAAATATAGTAGAGTTAAAGATTAGAAAGCAATAGATAGCATCTTGCACTGATCGCAATGATCGCTGATTTCGAGGGTTTATACTAGAGAAAGTAGCGAGAATGTAAATATTTCAAAATTACAATTTAATTGACCATATAGATAAATTAGTCTTTAATATTAACATGAGAAAATATATTTATAAATACATTTCAAATTTAATAGCAAAATATTTATATAATATTATAAAATAAAAATACAATGCTCTTTTATAACGATTTATACTGAATATAATATAACTCGATTTCTGAAATTTCTTTTTCTCCTAAAAGATATGATTATTTATTACACAAATCTTCGTGGAGTAACTGTTGCAACGTATTCTAATTTAAAAAAAATAATAATATAATACAATGAGGAACGCGCGTGCTCTATATAATAAAGTTACCTGACACGAAACTGTTCGCATCGCCGTAACCAATTTTCGCTCACAAAATATTCACTGAGAAAACAAAAGATCGTGTCTGCGGCATAAAAAGGCAACGTAAAAGGCCTACAGAGAGAGGACCGCGAGTTCTACCTGCGTTTGATATATCGGCTTCGGTGGCCGGATAGATGGATTACAATCATTCCGGGAGCTGGGGTGGTCAAATACCGTGACCATGCGTGTTTCAAACGTATCCTCGTGCACGCACACGTAGATATGTACGACGCACTTTCGAGTGCACACGTGGCGGCCCGTGCGTGTACGAGCAGTCCTGCGTGCAACGCATCGCAAGGACGCGTTTTCAAGTGCCAGGGAGGTGCGTCGCGGCAGTGAAAATTTTACATCGCGAGTTCTCTCTCTCTCTCTCTCTCTCTCTCTCTCTTCACTGACGTTTCTCTGCTGTTTAATATCGCGAGCTCGCACGGCTCTGTTACGTTTATTAAGCGTCATAGATCTACCTATAATATATTGATAACGACAGAAAATTTAATTAACTTTGCAACGTCGCGCCTATCCCTCTTTTTTATTTCTTCCCTCGCGTGCGATCATTATGCTCGAGTTTCGCGATCGCCACGTCGCTTTGTTGCTGTTACAATTGCTGTTATTTACTCATATTAGTTTGCTCCTTTGACGGTGTAATTTAACTATAATGCAAATTATGAAGGCTGAATTTAGAATTTTTACACATCCTGTAATCCAAGTTAGTGTATTGTCCTTGCGTTTTCACAAGAACAAACTACAAAATGAGTCTCCGTACATTAATACCGCAAGTATGAAGGCAGAGCTTCATGTATTTGACAGCATTATGAGATTATCCTCGGTCTCTGACTTCTTTTCTGAAAAACATCTGCATGGATAATGCATCTCTCGAGGTGCTTCCATATAAGTTACATGGATATTCTCTCTTTTAAAATATTTAATCTGTGCTTTGTTACAATGAAAATAAAATGTACATAACTCTTTTGACAAAATGGTCCACGTCATATAATTTATGCATGATAAATTGATAATTTTCTCAAATAAATGATGCATATTATGTAATATTCTAATAGAATCATAGCTGTGATAATATAAAGGTGACTCTGTACGTATATTACTATGTATATTATCGATAATACTGATTGTATAAGGTTGTAAAAATATTTAAAATATTTATACTGTTAATATTAGTGATCAATATTATTGTATAAGGTCACCTTTAGAAACATATATCAACTGTGATATATTTACATAGATAGAAGTGCACTAATAAATAAAAAAAAAAATACAAGAGTGATAAACAATGCAAAGTAGAAGAACGTGAGAAAAACATGAATAGATAAATGAAGCAGGAATATTGTGCAGGAATAAACTCTGTTCTATATATTCCAAAAATATCGTTTCTGACAAGAAACTTATTTATCAACTTCAACGAAAAGGTTTTTGTAATTGTTCTAATACTTTTTAAGTGAAAAGAAAAAAAATAATCAAAAACGTAAGTAGAACATGGGCTTTTGTAAATCAGACCGTGTTAAATGTTACCATGATAATTTTACATTAGTCTATTACGAGAATTTATGTAAACGGATTTTGACGAACGTATATTCGTAGCGTGTTTTATTGTTAATTTTTCGATAGCCATGGTGAGCCGAAGGCGGGTATGGATCGAGAGATCGAGCGGTCAATGGAGACATGCGGTCTTATTCCGTTGAATGCCAGAACATGAACATGGTCGTGGCACAGGAAGAAGGCAGGGGCACATCCGTATCGTGGTCAGAACCCGTGACCCCCCGATACGTACATACACGTGTAAACGTACGCGCGTTCGTCCGCACAGCACACACGCGAGCCGCGGCTTTGCCAAGGATTATCCCCCGTCCTACGGTTGCCCTCGGCTTTCATTGTGAGATCGCGAAGCGTCGGATCTGAATTCGGTATGCGATTTTTGATGCGGAGAATCGAGTCTAAATCCGAGCTCGCGCTCGCGCTGCGTTTAAATGGATAATTATTTCCTTTCCAAGCGATCATATGTCTGATAAATAATATAACGTGTTTTTTTTTCTTTTCGATGCTGCATAAATTACGTGAATGTTTATCTAAACATATAATTGTATCAGTTCTATATATTTTATTTTAACTTGAAACAATGCGCATCTAGATGAAATTTTAGGATAAGGAGATTCGCGTGCGAGAAAATGAAAATTTCCGTTCCAATTTTTCGAAATTTGTCACATTTTCCTAATACATAATGTTATAAGTTTATTACTTTTTTAAACGATTACGCGATGTAGAAACGATGCCTTGTTTATTTATTTTAGGTACTGAGATAATCGCGCATTACACGTGGAGTAGCCAGCTGCTTTGAGATGCGAAAGAATGTGCCAAATTGATGACGAAGAATTAAGCGGACTGAAAGCGCGTCCAGAGAAAGAGAGAGAGAGGGGTGCAAGAAGCGATAGGGTGGCCAATTGGCTGTGTAATGTCAGAAAGGGGTTGCTTCTCGCCCCTCGTACTTGCTAACATTGAGTATAGACGCTGCGTTATTTTTATAAGTTCGGCAGACCGAACGCCGAAAACGATGATGTTAGCACGCTAATCCACGACGTAAACCATTTTATCGGAATTTTATATTCCTTGTCAAATTAAGGTCACGTATTTTCGATATAGTTGTACTTTTTTTATTGGCCTCTTATGTATTAAAAGCATTTTTATGATTTTTCGGCATATACATGGAAAGGACGTTTTTGCTGAAATATCTGAAAATTTACAATTAGTTACAAAATATGTAAAACGTATAAACAACACTGATGATAATGCTGCAAAAAGTTTTAACATTTTAATAACCTGTTTTAAAGATTCATTTTTGATGGTTGAAACAAAACAAACAAAATTATTTTTAGATCTGCATCTAGCTAAATTTTTAGATACTTTAGCAAAACCATTATGTCTGTGTGAATAAAAAAGATTTTAAATGATCCTAATCGATAAATTAGTGATCCTAGAGTTCAATTACGTTTTAATCTGTTAATAAAAAGCTTTATTATTTTAAAAAACTAAACTATTAGAAATTGGAATACTCTCTTGTTCTATTTTTTCTTTATCTGTTACATTTATTCTAAACATTTTTTTTAAAAAAAAAAAAAAAAAAAAAAAAAAAGAAATATATTCCATTTTAAATTTTACATCCATGTGTTTTTTCAATCAATATTATTCTTAAATAAATGTAATATTTTTCACATTCTAATAAATTTTTTTAACATATTTTTCTGCGATTTTATGACAAATTTTTTCAATTTTGTTTACAGAAAAATATTTATACAATCGCATGAATGATTGATAATATTTTGCGTACAATATTTCATCCAGGCTGAAACAAAAATAAAAGATTACCTGTACTTGATCCGTCTTCGTGTTAGCAGCCATCCATGCCTCTACAAAGGTGTCCATTGCGCTCTGAAGATCCATTCCCTCCTGAGGCCTCAATAATTCTCCTGGGTCTCGGAAGTCGCCGCCATTCGTGACATATCGCGTTGTACTCGAATTCTCACTAACTCATAGCGTAAATTTTAGTCCTGGCACTTATCAATTAAGAGTCAAATGTGATCGAAAAGATGACAGGTTTTTAAAGCCGAATGTCAGTTTTTCTTGTATTCTAAATGTCACTTGGAGCACCTTGTCTACGATAAATATTAATAATCGCGCGAATGACATAAAATTTATTTACAATCGAAATCACAGACGTGCATAAAATGTCCGCTTATTTATGTAGGAGGTTCTTACTATTACAAGTTCTTAATTTCTAGCTACTGTATGCTAATGATAAACGCGAGGGTGATCATTTTTTTTTTATATTGAAACAATTTACACACCTATGATCACTATCATCTGTTCTAATTTTGCTTAGGTTAAATTGAAATATTAAATATATGATTAAATTGCGCGTACCTCTGACTAGACTGCGGAAAATCACACACGTGCTCGCAACTCATTACGATAAATATCGTCTCGGAGTAAAATCGGAGTAAATAGAGCGATCTACAGTCTCGTCCCGTTTCCTGATCACCAATCGGCACGTCAGTCTATTCAGAACGTCACAATTCTAAACGCCAACATCGATCGTAGTCTCTCAATCATCGATCACAAGATCAGTCAACGTTGCCAATCATCTCCCTGAGAAGGCCGAGGCACTGTTTCGGCGCGCGTGGGTTGTCACCAGTCATCAATACCAAACATGTGCGTAGCTCTGAGTGCTCCGAAAACTCGAACTTGATCGATTTCTTCGGACGTTTCTCGTCGAGGAGCCTCTTTGGATCACGATCGCATTCACGTCATCGTCCCTCTCGTCGTGAGTGTACCTCTGGAAATCGCGTACGATCGGCAAGCACCAACGGAATGTCATTCGCGCCGCCGAGGACGGGCGCACGGTCCGCGAGGACAACACACGTTCGCAGGGAACGGCGTTCGAGCCGCGACTGTGCGCGTCGAGGCGTCGCGGCGCTCGATCTGCTGCCCCTACGACGCCCTACCCGCGAGCGCGCCGTCAGTATCAACCCCACCACCCGGTCGTATCGCCGCCGCCACCACTGCCACCACCACCACCACCGTCACCACCACCACCTCCATCGCCCACCGCGATACCGTCGTCTCGCGTCTACCGATATCGCGGCCGAGTGCCTCCTCTGGTCCTCACTCGGCTGCTGGTTCACCCTCTCGCTCGCCGACTCCTCCGGAACCCACCTTCATCGTACCCCGCAGCCCGAGATCTCGTCGTCTCGTTCTCGTTCCCTCTTATCCTCCCCCGATTTCGCTACGAAGCTTCCTCGCTCCGGATAAGGCGTCGTCCCTCTCGCGCTTTACCATTTCCTTCTCCTTCCCGTCCTCCTCCTCCTTTGTTCATCGCGTTAAGTTCCTTTCCGATCACATTCTCGTCTATTTTTCCACCTTTTAATATTGTCATATTAATATTACAATTGTAACACGTCTTTAATTGATAAAATTGCCATTTATTAAAATCCATAAACAAAATTGCAAATTTTCCTGAAACCCGTGAAAATTTTCTTCTTCTTTGGAATCTTCTTTCACACTTGTAATCTTTGTGGTCGTTTACTTAAATTAGTTTTGCAGCTCGTATTTTTTTTTTTCTCTTTCATAAACTACTGATTTTTCCCCATCCAATTTCTTACTCATATTCATATTTGTTCGTCGCGCTATGAAAGATTCGCTCTCTCATCCCGCATCCATCTGATCTCCTTTTTTTTTTCAAAATCTGTCTCCGTCGAATTCGATTCTCACCCACTCCGCCCCCCCCCCCCCCCCCCCCCCCCCATCAAGAACCTATTCCAGGGGTCTAAAGATAACGTGCACATACACTTGCAACACATTCCCTGCGAGAGAATACGCGATTACCGATGACCGAGCTTAAGTGAAGAAACATGAAGCGATATCTATGCTACTGAGTCGATTTTTTTTCGCGATCGCAATTGCATTAATATTGCATTAGAATAAGTTTTTATATCCGCGGGGATTTATAAGTATAAAACGAGTTTTCGAATCAGTTTTTAAAAAAACTGATTCTGTCTATTTACTTTGAATTATTGGAACTTGAAATAATAACTATACGTTAAATAAAAATGTTTGATTAATAATAATCTTTAAATTTTTATTAACATTTATTAAAAGGATATACATATTAATGTATTACTTGCACAACAAAAAGTAAACAATTTTTTTAAGTTATCAAACCTTAAATTTTTTATTGATTACTTTTCGGACAATCTCAATGTATTGCTTCAATATATCAATGATAATGAAAAAAACAAATAATGTATCAGATATCTTACATAATGCAAAAATACTGTATACGTAAAAATAACTTAATACGCAATAAATAATTAAATATATATATATAGTTTGAACAGATCTTTGCGTTTAATTCCATACGATAAGAAGCAACAGATGCGTATTTGGATTAGAAATTGATTCGATAGAATTATTCTTTGACCTTCATAATAACATAATAAGCGATCGAGATCTGATACATTGAAATCTCATCCACTGATAAGCATAAACAGATTAATAAACTAACATTAAAAAACTTGTATCTCCTTATATCTCTTGGGCCAAAGATATGATTGGAGATTCGAGTTGACTTTGAATCAATTTAAAAGAACAAATACAAATAAATGCAAAAGATATACTAAGAAAATAGCATTAAATAAAGATATAAGACAAACATAAAAAAACATTACAAACATTGAGAAACTTCATAAATATACCATCAGTTACAATTAAAAAAAGATTCTGAATTTCAATAATTTGTAATGTAATTTTTCTTCTTTTGCTTTATCTGATTAATCAATGAAAATAATCTTAGATTAAAATAACGGCAATTAATATAAAGGCAGCAGATTTCATCAATATATCAACCACAATTCTCTTCGTGCTGTGAAAATGGATCGTTCGAAATTGAGAGCCTCAAAGGGAACGTATACATACGTACTCGCAAATTCCTGTAAACGTCACTGCCAGATTAGACAATCTCTGGGAATTAATTTCCACAGACGACAAAAGTAACATCGTTACCGATTCCAGCAGTATCCGCGAATTTTCAGTGCTTCGCGAGCGACGTCCTTTCCGGTTACATCCTTCCGCGTTTGTGTATGTGACATACGTGCTCTCGTAATGCACATATACGACTTCACTTCGTCAGATGTGATATGAAACAGCGATGTCGATGTACTCCAAGATACAAGCGTTATTATCGTCTGATAATCCGTTTGAATTAGCTGAGTTCGCAACTCAGCCTGGCCGTTTTATCGTCGGATTAACGATGAAATGAAGTATTTGTGGTATAACCGAGAGATATCTAGGATCTGTAGATAATGCGACGGTTACGTAACCGGTGACAAAATATTTCCGACAACCTTTTATTGACGATGTTAGCTAATCTATCATGAAACTCGGTTTGATTGGATATGCTTTTGTTGATTCTCTCAGAACATTCATAGAAAATAATGTAATAGGAAAATTCCAATAACGATTATGGTTTAGATTATCGTCTCCGGTTTCACTTTTCGGTGATTAAGAATATCTTAAACTCATACAACTTTGTTGATAATACAACTTTGTTATAATTTTATAAAAAATGAATTTTTCATTTGAAAAAAATGAATTTTTTAATTTTTAAATTTATTATGTAATTACTTCAGTTATATCGAATTAATACAGTTGAATAAAACCTATCTCGTGTTATGCATTTATTTAGCAAAATAAGAGAGTGCGGACTATCAGTGCATACGGTTTAATTTCAGCTTCAATAACGTCCGATTGGCGTGCTGGATAATCCCGGGATTAAAGTGAGTGCTCAAAAGATAATGCCTGATTCACCTGCCGCGTATCGATCAATACTGCTATTACGTAACAAAAAGGCTGCGTTGATTTTTTTTTATAGAAATTATTTAATTACGATTGGAACAACACAAAGAATAGTTTACTGTTCTTATGATAACACAAGCTAGGCAAAATCGCGATAGCAATTGGGAATAACGCAGATATTTTAATTAAGTAATTTAATTAAGACTTGAAAGTCTTTCAATTCTCTCAATTAATCAAAACTTGCGTTCAATTGAAATATTTTTTTTTTATAAAAACGCTTGTAATTTAAAGCTCTTTGAAAACAATTTAAAATTGTTCTCATTTTCAAATGTTTATATTTTTTTGCTTTACTTATTTTTATATTTTTTTACATTTTTTATTTCACTATTATCTATTCTTTGAACACGTATTTACTATGACATGTGTCTGTCTTGCGTGTTTCTGTAGGTATCACCGAAAACCGTGCATGTAAATCTCCAGACAAATTTGTTTCGACAGACTAAGAGTCTAGCGAGATTTCGTTCGCCGATACAGCATTTTACACTCGCCACATCCGAACGTTTTATTTCGCGAAGATAGACAGTAACCAGACGCGTCATATAAACGCATCTGTATCTAATCCTACTGTTACATCTTAATCCGCTCTTATCCATCCTACTATAATTCAAATTCGATTAGATATTAAATTATAAGGGATTTATAAAAAGTGTTTCCAATATTTTAACAAGGCCAAAATTTATCCAAGATATTGTAAATGTATTATTAAAATAAAATTTTAAGACTATTTTTCTTTTATTCATTCTTTTCTCTTTACATACAATTATTAAGTAGAATGAAATTATATATGCAGTCGACATATCTGATTTACATATATATATATATATATATATATATATATGTGTGTACATATATATATAGAGTATCTATTAACAAAGTTCTCCATTCCTAGAGGAAGATTAAATGGATACCGAGAATATGATTTATTGCTATCTATGCATATTAAGCGCTTCGTAAATTACTTATTCTTGTTGAACGTTACTGGTCAATGCACTCAGCATCTAATCCTGCACTGCTGATTACGACGCCGAAGCCAATAAAGCATCGTAATCAAAAGCTTCGTCTCAAACTTCCCCGTCGCAGTCTAGCGATGCATTCTTCGTTTCGCCAACGGAACCGGCGTCAGCTATTCCTCTAACGTATACCAGATACACACGTACGCACACGTACTTATTACATACACGTGCTTGCACGCCATCCGCTTCCAAGAGAGAAAGACGACGGGGGTGGAAACACGACAGTGGGGTAACGATTGCATCCGCGGATGGCTCTGATGCAATCTGTGTGCAAAGCGGTCTAAAGTTGCAACTCCTACGACGGAGGGCCATGGGTGGGTACGTCGCCGAACAGGGAGAAGGAAAGAGGAAACAGGGAGCAGGAGGGAGAGTAGCAAAGAGGGTCCAGGGGGAGGAGGGGAGTTTCGAGCCGCGGGAGGAAGAAGGATCGCGCGCCCTAGGTCGCGTTTCTGGACGAGAGGACTGCGCGGGGGGTTAACGTTATCGGGCGCGGTGGCCCTTGGCAGGGTGGTTTGCCAGGGTCGACAAAGCACCGGATGGTAAAGCCCTGTTCCCTGGGCGTGCACCCACGAGCTTGCGGGCGGAGCATGAACGGCACGCCTACTACGGAGCTTTCGTGTCGAACCACGAAGACCGGCGCGTTCGTCCTACGTCCAGGACGGCGTATCCCCACTTTGGATGCCTTCTCTGGTTGAGGCTCTCTCTCTTTCCATCCGGAGCTTTTTCGAAGTAAGGACGATCCTCGCCACCTTACGACGAGCACACGGACGTCTCACACTTCTACGAGCGTGTACGCGCTTATCCGAGATGTGGGAGGTAGTAGTAGACTGGGAAAAGAGGGAGAGAACGCGAAGGAGAAACGGTCGAGGCGGGCTGGCTCGCTACGAGAAAAGCCGAGTTTTCTCGAGAGGGGCTATAAAGGAGAACAGCGGGAGGGAGGACTAAGAAGCGCAGGAGAGGGACAACTAAGGCGAGAGTAACGTATGCCCGGAGCTAATTTGCCGGAGCTTACCC